CTTTTGTTTGATATTAAGGTGAATCCAAACAGAATACATAATATATAAAAGAAGCAAGGGTGTAAGACTTAAGGTGAGATCCAAACACAAATTCCAGCAGCCAATACTGTAGCAATGCTATAGGAATGCTACAGCAAGTAGTGTTTCGAAACTAAGTTTCACCATCTATTTTGAAGGCAWTCCTYTCGGACTTCACCATTGCACTATCTTATAGCTTTCCACCCATATCTCTATGTGGTGTCCGGACTGGGGATAGTGACACGATGGTGTTTTCAAAATATATGGATAAACAAATTTCTTTGTTAAAAATCACTCTCTCGAGTCGATTCCCATATCATTCGAGTTGGCGTGTTCTTGATAGTTCATCTCTGAATCTATCACACTTTGACACTTTCGAAAAGTCACCAACCCGTCGGGAGTTAAGTTTTGAAAAACATAAACGACAAGTCTCCTTGTCGGCAACTCTCTCAAGTCTACCTCTTATGTCATTCAAGTTGATGTGTTTATTAATGGCTTATCTTTAAGTCCATTGCACTTTAACACTTTCGAAGTGATCAACCCGTCAAGAAGTGTGTTTGGTTTTTATAAAAACTCGAATGAAACAATGAAACGTCGTTTACGAAAACACTTAGCTAATTTTGTTTGGTTTGAAAATCTCACATTTCCGTCTCACACCCAAGCTATAAAAGCTTAGCTACTCATAACGGAAAGTAAAAAATAAATGACGAAAAGTAAAGACATAAACGTAAATTGCGTAAAGTAAATAACGAGAAAATAAATGACGGAAATGTAAATGACGGGAAAATAAATAACGAGAATGCAAATTGCGGAAATTAAATGACGGAATGTAAATGACAATAATCATAAAGGAACGTAAAATAAAGAGCGGAAAATAAAATACGAGAAATTAAAGAAGAAAGCTAAGAACTTGAAATTTCTCCAAAAGATTCTTTCAAAATCAGCCCTAACTAGCTGATTTTGATCTTGCATATATGTTATAAGGTGTGTCTAAAACATATGGCTAAGCCCCCAATTTATACAAAAAGTCTTGCACAAAACAACAAAGGTATAATCCACTAGTTAATGTCCAAAAACTAATAAAAGGGAATCTTAAGTACAAGATGACCTATTAATTCAAAAATCCCTGATTATAAAAATCTTCCAGCTGTATCTACATGTCGTCCATTCAGCATCCAAAAGTCAGCAGCTTAATCATTAAGCCCTCGCAAAACCGTGCACGTAACAAGTGGTTGCTGCTGCAATGCTGTAGCATCAGGCTGTTTTAACAAAAATTCTCCGTTAGCTTGTATTTTTATGTCCCAACAAGTTAAACCACAATATTTTAGCCCCATAACAAAAGTATAAATAAATAAATCAAAATGACTCAAAGTGGGAATGAAAGGAAACTAATTTTAACTAAAAAGACGTAAAACGGATGCATTATGTGTTGATTCTCAACACATATCACCTGAATATCCAACCCGTTATGCGAGTTGACTAATCCCCGGACGACCACCAGCCCGGGCCTCGGAGTCACCACATTTGAACTTCCGTGGCCACAAGGGGATTTCTTGATTAATATAAGAACCATTCAATTCTTTATACGTTGTATTAGTATTTCATGATCAACGTATTTTGAACATCAACGTATTTTGAACTTGCATTATACCGGTTGATTATGATATGACAGTTCCACATAATCAAAACTGACAATATAACTTAGGAATGGCAACGGACCGGGTTCGGGCAGGTTATTGGTATCCCCATCCCTGAAACCAATAACTAAGACCATCCCGTAACCGCATCAATCCCTGTCGGGGATCTTACGAGGATCCCTATTAGGCCCTGCGGTTTCCCGATCCCCGTTGGGGAACCCGATATGGGTAAAAATCCCTTTTTCCCTATTTTTCCCGTTCACCGTTGGTTATAACTGAACCCGAAACCTGAACCGATCTGGAAAAAATTATAATACGTTAATTTTCACAACTAAAAGTAAATTACAATTTTTTTTAAATGTTAAGTCTAAATGTCTCAAACATAATCAAACCAATTACAAACAATGTCTTATATTACTATATAAAAGTAAACAGAAATTCAAACATCAAACAACTAAGATCACGGTTTCACGATTAGACAAAATAAACTAGACTTTTTGTGAGCCTTATTTGGGGTGATGAAGTAAATTGGATAAGAGTCTTTTAAATTTAATGTTAGTATTTTCTTTTAATGATATGTATATATATATATATAGAGAGAGAGAGAGAGAGAGAGAGAGTTATAGATATAGATATGTATGTATATAAATTAAAATTGATATATATACACATATCGGGCTGGTGATCCCCGTCCCCGCACACGATGGAATCCCCGTCCCCGCACACGATTGAAACCCCGCCCCGTCCCCGATAAAATGTCTCCAATCCCGGGCCGAAAATTTCGGTTTTCACCAACGGTTTCGTTTTTTTGTTGTTGCCATCCCTAAATAACTTGACAATTTTGACTTTCATGTCATTAATGGTGCGTTTGATACACCAGATAAGACTAAACAACATAACATGGATCATTATTCCATGTTTGACAGGATTTTTATGTAGAACATTATGGAACAGGCGTGTTCCACTCTTACCTCATAGTTTAATATACATTTTACCAATATAACATCAAAATAAAACATAATTATCTTCTAAAACATCAAATATGCTCCCTTTTATACATTTTATTCATTTTTAAATTTTATTCATTATATTTTATGCTTTTTAAACCTTCATTTACCGTCCTTAAATATTTTTTTATATGATTTATATATTTTAGTTAATTTATGTAATTTATTAAATATTAGTAAATATTTTAGAAAATGTATAAAACAAAAATTAGAAAATATATGAACTTTTCTATTTTAGTGTCATTTTAATCGTTTTGACGAAGACTTTCTAATGATATACTTTTAATATAAAGTACTTATTTTATTATAATTTTATAAATTAAATAAATTAATTAAAAGATATAAACAACTCATTAGGGGTAAATTGTTTTGTCCTTTCATATTTTGTCTAATCATGTCCTACCCAATAGTTACAATATCTATCGGTTATTGGTAAAATCGATAAGAAATAATTAAATAATAAATAAATACTCATTTGTTACATTAAATAAAATAAAAAATTGATATATTTTTTTAAGAAAAAATAATTAGTTCTTGAAAGTAATTATGTGAAAATACATAACGTTAGGACACAACATTTAAATATATATGGACCCAAAATCACTAAAATACAAAAATGATATTTGGGCCATTTGAGCCCAGGCCCAATGTTATCTACATATGAGTTTAGCTATCAACAAAATGGCAAATTACATAAAAAGTAGCGTACTTTAACTTGATTCCTATTTTAGTTAACATACTTTCAAAACTTTCATTTTATTATCTAAAATATAAAGTTTTAAACATTTAAGTATTCAAGTAACTGGTTTAAGCATTAACCGGTTACCATTTTAGGTAACGTACTTTCAAAACTTTCATTTCTAGTTATATTATAAAACATGGTTGTATATTAACTAAAATACATAAAAAAATACGTTTTTTTTTTTACAAATTATACCATTATAACAATCTTTTCCTCAACACATTCAAAAGGTGTCTAATATTGAAAATATTTTTAGATTTGACATTATATTATTATATATTATAAATACGTATGAATTATTTTTAAAACTTACATTTTATACTTTTATGGTTATTTATTTAATGCATTTTTAATTCTTTTTTTCATTTTAAACCCTTATTTATTAACATATATAATTATTATATGCTTTATAATATTTAATAATATAAGATTAAATTAAAAAATATTTAATATTGAGCTTATTTTGAACATATTGACGAGATTATTATAGTGATGTAATTTATAAAAAAAGGAACACATTCTTTTTCATGTATCTTCGTTAATATACAATTATATATGTTAATATAATAAATATGTAAAATAAAAAATAAAAAAAGTAAGAGATATAAAGTTAACTAAAGGGTTATTTACCAAATATTTACCCGGTAAATATCTAGCTATAAAATTTAACACTATCATTTATTTATTGAATAAAATTTTAGTCAACAAAAAATAACTTTTTATGTAACAATTATCTGGTAAGAATGGACCGTTACCAAATAAGAGTCTAGATCTTGTATTATTCTTACGGGTAGGATTCATTATCCTTTTCATGTAAATTTCCGGTAACACCCTCGGTAGTCAGTAGTAGAGATGGCCAAAAACCGGTCCCGGTCCGGTCCCGGGCCGGTCCCAATCGGTCCTCACCATTCTCATAACCGGCCATAACCGGTCCCGGCGTAACCGGTCCCGGTCTCGGTCCCGGTCTCGGTCCCGGTCCCGGTCGAAAATGATAGGACCGGTATAGGTACTTTATAACCGGTTATAGGCCGCCGGTCCCGGTCCCGGTCCCAACCGGTCCCAACCGGTCCTTCATTAAAAAAATAAGATTTTTTATTTTATTTTTTTAATGATATATATTTTTAATACATTATAAAATTTACAATTGGGTCACTCAAATACACTTTAAAAATGCGTTTTAATATAATTAAAATTACGTTTTCTTATAAAAATACATTATAAAATTATTTAAAAATATATTTATTTATAAAATTAATTGAATTTTCGGGCCGGGCCGGGCCGGTCCATAGTCGGTCCCATAACCGGTCCCGGTCCCGGTCGGTCCCGGTCCCACGAAACTACCAAAAACCTTAACCGGTCCCGGTTTTCGGTCCCATAACCGGTCCTTATCGGTCCCGGTCCCGGTCCGGTCCTTTGTCGGTCCCGGTCCCGGTCCTCCGGCGGTCCCGGGCCGGGCCGGGCCCATTTGGCCATCTCTAGTCAGTAGTCAAGACCATCCCACCCCCAGCCCGCTGACTTCCATTACAAAATTGATTTTCAGATATTTCATGGCATTCTCAAGATCAAAAGCGTGAGGGGACCGCTGATCAGATATCTACGATCACTTGAACTTTCACGAAATGGAAACGGATTCACTACCAATTTATCTCCTTTTTGCCATTTTTGCATCTTCTTCAATTCTTGAAGCTTCCATCAATGGCGGTGGATTAAGATCCAAACAAGAAAACCCGATTAAAAGATCCGATTTCCCGCCTGGGTTTCTATTCGGAGCAGCCACTTCTGCTTATCAAGTAATATTTCTCTGTTTCTTCTTTCCCTTTTCTTTAACCCGCATTTCGCCATTAAAACACCCCCCTTTTTTAGGTCGAAGGAGCTTATCTTGAAGATGGCAAATCTCTCAGCAACTGGGATGTATTTTGTCATTCCAATGGCAATGGTCAATATCCTTTTCATTTTTGTTTCTATTCATTAATGAATAATGGTTAGTTAATGTTACTAAAACTGCAGCCATTGTTGTTAGGGTGTGGAGAAAACGGCGAGAATGGAGATTTTGCAGATGATCATTATCATCTGTTTAAAGTAATCAATCTTTACTTGCTTCCCGATTGTCATAAAATCAAGAACAGTTGTTTTTATCTCGATTTGATTTTGGGTTTTTCTACAGAAAGACATTGAACTGATGCATTCTCTTGGGTTAAAATCGTATCGATTCTCGATTTCTTGGTCTAGAATTCTACCAAGTAAACCTGCTAATCTTGCTTTTGATTCATATGTTCTTGATTGTTTGAATGATGTTTTGTATACTGTGATCCGTTTTAGGAGGGAGATTTGGTGAAGTTAATCCTTCGGGAATCATGTTCTACAACGAAATCATCGATGATCTTGTACTCAAAGGTTAATGTTGATGCATTTTGAGTTTGGTATTCATATGTGAATAGTGTAAAACTTGTTTCCAGTTTTATTGGATTCAAGAACCTTTCTTGGTTGAGCATTATTCATGGATCTTGAGTAATAAGCTCGAGTTATACAGGAATCGAGCCATTCGTGACGATCCACCATCAAGATTTCCCTCAGGAACTCGAACGTAAATACGGGTCTTGGCTCGACACTCAAATGCAGTATGTTTAAGCTTCTATTTTAGTCGCGAAAACAGACTTATCTGGTATTCTGATCTTTTGATACTTGGGACACGACAGCGTGGGCTTAGCGAGTCCGAAGCCCGGTCCAAGCCAGGCCTCAGAGCCTGATCAGGCTGAAATTTTGTGGACGGGCCCGACCTGAAAAAGTCTGATTAAGCTCGAAAGTTTTCAACCCCAAGCTTGGTCGGGCCTGGGCCTAAAAAGCCTGAGCTTTTCTTTTGCTCATTGAAAATCGGGATTGGGAGGCCGGGCCCGCATCTCTATACTTGACTGGGACAAGATGGGGGGATAAAAATGCATTTTTTGTCCCACCAAAATAGGTGGAACAAAAATAACATGTGACGGAATTAAGCAAATTACTAAACTATCCTTTGTCAAATTAGAAACTTCCATCATTCTTTCGCCCTCTCGTCACTTTCGCCTATCCGGTCCGTTTAGTCCCGTCCAGTTCCGTGTGTGTACCAAACTCGTAAGCTTATTACGAATCTCAATTTCTTGCAGGGAGGACTTTGTACTTTTTGCTGAAACTTGTTTCAAGAGTTTTGGAGACCGAGTTAAGTACTGGGTGACGATCAATGAACCAAACTTGGTTTCAGAAATGTCTTACGAAAAGGGGACGTATCCACCGGCTCACTGTTCACAGCCGTTCGGCAACTGTCTTGCCGGCAATTCCGATGTCGAGCCTCTTCGAGCTATGCACAACATGTTATTGGCCCATGGGAAGGCTGCAAAGCTATATCATGAAAGATTTCAGGCAATTTCAGTAACTTCTTAATTCCTTTTTGTAAAGAAAAAAAGGAATTGTAATCTTTAGAACTTAATCGTGCAGCCGAAACAAGGTGGATCGATAGGATTAGTTGCACACTGTTTCATGTATGAACCACTTACGGACAGCGATTTCGATCGAAAAGCTGCAGAAAGAGCCATGACCTTCAATATTGGCTGGTAATCTTTATTTGTCCATTCATTACAACAAAATCGGCTTTATAGGACGTCAAATATGTCTAAGGGGTTGTTTGGTTGGTTTTTCATTAACTCATGTATAGATAAAGTTGTCTGTATGGATTAATCTATCGGTATATATTAGGAAGGTTTTTTTTGTTTGAAAGGGTTTTTTCATAGATGGAGGGAGCGTATTTTTTTTATTTTGGGGGGGGGGGGGGCAGGCTTGTAAAAAAAACTGGCTTTCTGCATAAAGTCCCCCTAGAAGCTTATTGAATAAGCCACTTTCTATATCATTAAGCCACTACCAAACATTTACGTATAGCTGACGACATAAGCTGTATGTCCCATTAAGCTGCTAACAAACAGGCCCTAAATGTTTTAATAGACTGATTTATAGGACTTGAGTTTATGAGACCAAACAATTCTATAAACTTATTATAACATTTTTGCATAAGACGCACAATTGTTTGGTCTTATGGATTGAAGTCCTATAAAGCAGTCTATTAGGACATTAAACATATTCAGAGTCCAATAAAGCCGATTTTGTTGCAGTTATTCCTAGCTTTACCAAAAAGAAGGAAAAGCTGCTATCTTTTCGTTCAGCTTCTTACGATCGTGATTCAAACAGGTCATTTGATCCGCCGATATTTGGGGATTATCCTCAAGAAATGCGTGAATGCCATGGCAGCGAATTACCGAGATTCTCCCCGGAGGAAAAGAATTTAATGAAAAACAGTATTGATTTCATTGGAATCAACCATTACTCAGCTATATATGCCAAGGATTGTACCAATTCTAGCTGCTTAAATGGTTGTGATCGTGCAATCAAAGCTTTCGTGGAAATCACTGGAGAGCGTGATGGCCAGCTGATCGGTGAACCAGTACGGTACATATATGTATGTATGTATATACATAGAGGGAGATTCAAACGAGAACGGTAACAAAACAACAGAATACAAAAACAACCAAATCAAATGCAAAATGACATGTGATTTTACACTAACATGCGACCCAAGGATATGCGGGTGAGTCGCGTGAATCACATGTGATTTTACTCGTGATTTTAGTGTAAATTCACATGTGATTCTATGGTTTTCTTATTATCTTATTTAGTTATTGTTCTCGTATGAACCTGACTCTATATATACTTACATATATATATATATATATATATATGGATTTCTGTTTCAAGATTTTCTTTCTTTCAATTAGGTACTAAAAATGAATGATTTTGCATTCAATAGACATCGATGCCAAGATTTTTTGTCGTTCCTAGAGGTATGGAAGAAATCGTGAACTATGTCAAGACTCGGTACAGTAACCTACCGATGTTTATTACCGAAAATGGTAAGTTTGGTCGGATGTATGTAGAACTGACCTTTACCCCAAAGAGTAAAATATATGTTTTCATGATTTATGTTATTTATATTAGAGATGCATAAGACCTGGGTCAGTCCAGACCGGCTTTGGGGTTGGAAAAGGTCCGATCGGGCTTTCTCGGGTCTGATAGGGCTTTGAGGCCTGGCCAAGACGGGGCTTTGGGATCACTAGGCCTGGGGTTTTCTGGACGAGCCGGGCTTCAGGCTTGGGCTTTTTTGTGCATCTCTGATTTATATCGCTGATGCTTTTCTTTCTGTTGTAGGGTATTCGTCACCAAACGTGCAGGATGTAGAAGTTGATGAGATTCTGAACGACATCAAACGAATCGAATTCCACGAAACATATCTCGAGTCTTTAGCCAAAGCCATAAGGTGAGTCCGGTTCCCTTTTGACTTTTAAGTCAAACCTACTATTTTTAGTCTTGAAATTTGACGATTAACACATCGAGTCATCACGAACAAAACCCGTGACTAGATTGACTACGGTAGAAAATACGACTAGATAGATTACGACTTAAATTTCAACCATGGTTGTTTCAGTTTCGTACTTAATAAGTACTCAATTTAACCATGAGAAAGTCAAAAGAAGATTGAATGTTATTTGGATAACAGGAATGGTGCGGACGTCCGTGGCTACTTTATATGGTCATTAATGGACAACTATGAATGGACGTATGGCTACAATGTGAGATTCGGGTTATATTATGTCGACTACAAAACATTCGAACGGGTTCCCAAATTGTCGGCGAGATGGTATCAAGATTTCGTGAAAAACAATAGCTTGGATCATCATCCACCACTCCGAACCGATACATGATGTTCGATTTGCGCAATATCGTTTGTTATATGTTGTGAATCGTTACCCGTGTTCACAGTGAACGTACGATTGTTACGTTATTGTAATTCTTATACAACTATATATCGTTTCTTTGGTTTGTTAAATGAGCATCGAACATTATGTAAAATGTGCAAATACTTTTATTGATTTGTACCTAATTTACATTTCCCAAATTTATATTCCTTACAAAGGGCATTATTGTCAATAAAAGAAATAAAAAATCGTTGTAAATAATGTCGTTATTGGTTCGTACGAATGGTGTTCATTATAAGATTCGGGTGTGACGAGCCGGGTACTTTTCGTTGTCGATCTCGATCAAACTTTCTTTCACCATGTCCGCTGCATACGTTACCACGTCCGCCCAATTCCTGTAAATATTAATTACCATTATATAAACCGTTAAACGTCTATAACGAAAAAGATGTACAATTTTAGAAATGTGTAATCATTGTATCTTTAAATTAATTAAATGACAATTTTACCCTTAATAACATATAGTTTCACTGTCTCATAATTAAGGGTATAATTGGAAATTAAGTATGTACTTACTTCTAAAAATGAACAGTTATTTTGAGACAGAATAAAATAGAAATATGAATTAAGTATCGAGACATACCCTTTGGTTGTGTTGAACGCGAGTCCTACGGTATGCTTAGCCTCTTCAAGGGCATAACCGAACCTTTTCGTCTCAGACGGAGTACATATTTTGTTATCCGAGACCCGAAGCTCAGAGGGCTTCACGTCACAAAATATGGGAATAACTTTCTTCCCGGTTTCCATCATCAAAGCAAGCTCGTGTAGACAAAAGTACGACTCGCAATACCGGGGTGAAAAGACCGCCACCCCGATCTTGCACCCCAATATCGCATTATCGATATTCTCAAACAATTTATCCCCGGGCTTCATGTTTTTGTTGTCAAGAAACGACGGGATTCTTGAAAACACGAGCTGATGGTAGAGCAAAGAGGCGATCGATCTCTTCGTATCGACCCCACGATGGTTTATGAAAACGTCGCAAGCGGGCTGGACCGCGGGTCGGGTTTTCTGGAATGCCATTTGGCGCTTGATGGTGTTTAACATGGCTGAACGTTGCATGGTTAGTTTCTGTTGTAGGAAAGTTGCAAGATTTCTATTTCAATTCAGGTTCGATTTCGATTTTGAAATGGTGTTTCGTAGGTTTCTATTTATAGTTGGTCGGGAGACTTTGTTAAGAATATTTATTTTGGAATTATTATCATAGCAAAATCCTCAAGGGGACTTCCAAGTCATTTCATGTCATATTCGTTACAAAGACCAGTTTCACGGTCAGACTCAAATCTGAATATTAAGACTTATCTGTGTACGCGTGAAATGCACGAAGACGTAAAATATTACTGTCAGGTTGGACTGTAACTGTCAGAGAACGGCAATCACTCATTCCGGTAAACTGGGACTGTAAGATGGGATATCAGTGTTGAACACAAACGTGGGGCAAATGGGATATTTCGTCACTCCCTGGGGATCAACGACTACGTCACAGCTCTTGTCTTGTATATACCTGAACTGGGTTTTTAGCTGGTTATCTGTTAGTTATATGAAGTTTAAACATGGAGCTGTAATAAGTTGTACACGTATAATAATAATAATAATAAGCAGTAAACTTTAAAATATAAAATAAAATGGTTTGAAAATGGTAAGACTTGAATGAATCAATGTTGGGACAACTCGACAAAAAAGGGTTTGAATGTTTTTTCAAATGGAATTTCCAAAGAACCTTCAAAGACGTTTTCTTCATATAATCACTCTACTTTCAACCATTTTGTGTTCATATTTAGAGAAATACGTGCATTTTGTGTCCACATTTAAATAAACACGTGAATCTTGTTAAATCATTGGTAATTAAATTTTTATTTAAATATTATTATATTTACTGTATTTTTTAGGGCAAATTGTATGAAAAAATAACTTTCATTTTAGTTACTGAGATGTATTGTTTTAAATATTTAAGTACTCCGGGTAACGTGGACGGACCTATTATATATAGGGCATACGGTGGCACGTGCCACGGTATTATTCCTCCGTCGAAGAGTAAAAAAGTTTAGATTCGTGAAAGGTGCAACGGTGTTAATTTGTTGTATGTCACCGTATGTATTTTGAAACTACATTAAGAACAACTTTTATTTGGTATGGTTGGTTTGCAAGACTTTTATTTCATCTCAGACCCAAGTTCGAATCCTGACAGTGTCATTTTTTTAGTCAAATGGTGTCACATTTTGAAAATATTCCGTATATTTGTTTTTTTATAGTCAAACGGTGTTAGTATTTGAAATTTTTTCTCTATATTTTTTTCTTACAGTCAAATGGTACTACCGTTTGAAAAAAATTATGAGTCCGTCCCTGTCGGATAACTAGTTGAAGATTAATTTTAAATTAAAAAAAACTAATTTTATATTTAAAAAAATCACGTCATTAACCACGTCAGCGAATAAAACTGAGTTGAATACCACATCACTCGTCACATCAACATGATAATCGGTTATCCAGGTACTTAAATGTTTAAAATTTTACATCTTAGACACCAAAATGAAAGTTTTGAAAGTATGTTACTCAAAATAGAAATCAAGTTAAAGTACATTATTTTTTACATGCAATTGCACTATTTTTTATCTGTAGAAGTTATATAATGGAATACACATTTCAGCTCAAGAAAATAATAACCGGGTAATTTTCTTAACAAACTCAACTCGTATAGACTTATAAACCATTTTTTATATGTCATATGTATAAAAATACAGTGTTTATACAGTATTATCTGTAATTATACAGTTATATTTAAAAGAATGATTGGATAATATACGATTTGGACTTATAGAAAACACCATGAAACTTGTTAAAATACTACCATTGGACTTATAAATTCGATACAGTTTGACTATTATTTTGACATTTCGTGGTGTTTTATTCACGGTTTGACCCGAATATTTACGGTATGCATATTAATTATGGCTATAAATATTTAAATAAATTATATTATATTTAATATTAACACTATATGATAATTTGACACAAATATTCTAAAAATAAAACATTTGATAAAAACTCTTAAAAATCATTTTTTATGCATGAAGTACTGTTTATAGATACATATTACTTAAAATTCAAAATTATAAGTAAATTTTACGAAAGCACAACTTATTAAAGCTACATTTTTAACAACTAATTGCGGATAAACATAATGAAATACAGAATAAACATCTSATTTTAAATATAAAAAATCTAAAATATAATTAAGATAATCATTGAGTTCTAACAAATATGGTTAATAAATTATATTTATAAAAAAAACTATATTATTAAATCAAAAATAAATTACTTTGTTATTAAATCTAAATTAAATTATAATTAAAAAAAATTGAATTAAAAAAATTACACCAAAACAACGAGAACTATTAAATAGTTAATTTGATATTAATATCGATATAATTTTTTTCAAATTTATATTTTCATTCAAAAATAAAAAACATTATTGTTTTCTCAAAATCTCATAAAACCGTATTATATCGGTAAAGACAAAAACTAAAAGCTAAACATCGAAATCGAGATATGTCTCGATGCATTGCACGAGTACCCTTCTAGTTCTAAATATAAGAACTGTGTCGTGGCCATCAAATCGTGCTTGTTTTGTTAAAATACATACTTTGGACATAACATGGATCAGAAGATTAATGAAATGAGAACCTCATATATTGTGATAACTGTGAGAACTTTTACCTTAAAGTATTTATACTCATGAATTTTATCCATCTACGACTAGTATTTAATGTATTTGATTAACATATATTTGTTTCATATGTCTTCGGTTCACAAGATGAAACTGTTTTACATGTATTTTTTTTGTTTCACAAACACGCAGTAGTTCTCAGGGTTCTTTCAATTTTGTGAACTCTCAAATGGTACGTGAAATACTGAAGTAAACTTTATTACAATGTCACGTAAAAGATTACATATTGATCGTTAAGATACAATAATGAGTTATTACCAGTGCTAAAAATGTTCTGTATGAAAGGAAAAACGCTAGTAAGTCGACTCTAAGACAACAGGTAAAAAAATATTGCATCAGAAAAAATTTAGTGATTGCATGGACGCCCACTGGCACCTCTGAATCTGCCTTAGGGGAACACTGGGATGTCGACGCCATGGATGGACAAGAGACGGTGCCATGTGAAGTACCGAGGGTGGTATCTGTATTTTGGTACAAAAATGATGTGTGCACCTCTGTACTAGGGTTGTGTCGGTGGAAGTATGTGACTATGTGAGTCATACATACTTGAGATTCGTACATGTGATGCGTTAACATCATACTATATCAGTCTAATTAGTGAATATGACCAGTACGCGAAATAAAACAGATCTACTTGGTGTGACGATTAACTGAAAGCAATTTCTCGTATTTATATTTTGGAAATCGAACGAATACTAGAATTTTTCGAATTTGAAACTATTTTCTGATTGGTGTATAAGCATTTTGTTATGTCATATTAATAATGTATGTTTTATATGTTTGTGATTGTAAAACTGACTACGTCACATGGTTTCCAAGTGTTTTGATGACAGAAGGCAGAAGCAGTCTCTTGTATCCGTTATGTGAGTTTTCTGTTACGCTCAAGATTTTACGGTCGTAATGGTCTTGAATGGGATGACCAGTAGTAATTGTGGTCGACCCCACCTACACCTTTCTCGGAATCGAGACCCTCTCCCATTCGACGAGAGCTTTCAGTAGGCATCCCTATGATTGAAAGATACCTGACATAATTCCAACTCTTAGATCTGACTTTCCCTTGTAGTGTGTACCATTAAAAAGCAATTTTCTGTTATGTATACTCTGAACGTTCTAAAAAACTGTTAACGTGCACATTTGGCACTAAATTTTCAAACATAAGTATCATCATCAGTGGAAATGTGTTAATTTGCCTTTGAATTATTCGAATCACAACAATTACTATAAAAGTGCTACTAGAACATACCGTTGCATACGTTTGAATTTTGAAATAGCGTATGAAACTCACATCCTCAGACTCACTCTATGTTACTTTACCCTATTATTTAAATTTTGAGCATCGTGGCTCGTAGCCATCTGCTATAATTCTCTGAGCCACACGTCCCACTCCGTCTTATTATGAAACAAGCCCCTTTGACAATCTCAAAATAACTTCCAGCCTTATGTCTTGTAAGTTTCAAAATTTTACACTTTTAACTGTTATTTTCAACATTCTTTTTGTAGTTTTTTAGTAATTAGAAGGGTACTCGCATAATGCAGCGAGATATATATCGATTTTAATGTTTTATTCCTTGTTTTTTTGGTCTCTATCGATATTATAATATTTATGTGGTTTTGAGCAAAGAATATTGTTTTCTTTAAAAATATAAATTTGAAAATATCATAAAAATTAAAAAAAATATATAATGTGTAATTTCTTTAATTCAAATTTTTTATTATATAAAATTGTACTTGTAATCTTGAACTTTAAGTAAAATGCATCAATAAACAATAGTTTATATATAAAAAATGATTTTTAAGAGTTTTTATCAAATATTTTATAATATAGTATAGATTAAAAAGTGGCATTTGGGTGGAACACCAAATATGAAACTGATTGGAAAAATAGGCCAAAATGATAAATTTGACCACATTTTGCAAACTTTGAAGCCATCTTATTAGACCCCACTAAAAAAATAGAAACAGAATAAAAATAAACTAGAAAAAGATGATATAACTTACAGTTTAGGAGTAGGTTGTAAACGGAGGTTATATATCTATCTATATAGGGGAGCGATCAAATGAAAATCATTCAATTTATAAAAATCGTAAAAACCTCATTATACCAACCACAATTTTTCATTTTTTTGTTCATTTTTTTTCTAATTATGAGAGGTTGATTAATCATTTTTATTGTGGAGGATGTTAATCATGGATATTATCATCTTCACTATTTTAATTTTAGAGAAATACATGAAACAGTTTCATTAAAATTTCATTAAATAGTATATGAAACAATTTCATAACCATATATGAAACAAACTTCATCAAAAAAAGTATTATATGAAACAATTTCACA